AGTGGAATTGGTATTCACTCAAAAAGTTGTGAGAAAACTCAAGAATGAAAGAGCTGAATTATTTATGGTAGTGTGCAGAGGTTGCAGGAGGTCCAGTACTCCGGAGAAACAGAAAGGTGAAATGAAAGAACAAATGCTGGGTGACAAACACCCATCTCAGAATACGTACTAACTCCTCTCCTTCTACAGTCACAACTGTTTTTTTCTGCCCCACAACATTTATTTTATCCTGAATGTTTATGAGCCAGTGAAATTCTACACCTGCATATCTGAGAGGCCTTGAGCCACTCTCATTTTCAGGCAATAATAGATAGAGGTGAGAATTCTGAAGCAGGTGAGAGTTCTGTGTTGAGTTCCTGGTGTGCAAGCTCTATGGCTCTGACAAGGCTTGTCATTCTTCATGTAAAAGAAATAAACCCAGCTAAACAAATGTTCCTTATTCTAACTTTAATAACAAAACATCTACCTCCCCCAAACCAAAAGGCACAGCCTAAATCAAGTCTTTTCACCAATAAACCAAAAAGCCATCAAAGACACCTGTGTGAGGCTTCCATAATTTAGTGCTTATTTCCGATAGGAAAAAAAGGTGAACTGTGGTAACTTCTTGCAAACACACTATTTGTTTTATATGAACAGCTCCTACTAAATAACACAAATGAAGCTATTATTAAAGTTGTTTTTGTAAACACCTGGAAAACTGTTTTATTTCTACAGGCATAAATTAGGAGTAAATTCCTGGCATGATTTTGTGAACTGAGAATAAAATAGCAAGATAAGAAACTTAACTGTTAGCCCATTAAACAGTTAACTTTAGTAAAATCAAGTCTTATTTGATGATAAAGTTGAGAGTACAAAAGTATTTAGGAAAACACTTTCCTATGTGTTATTCGTATGCATGCAGTATTTCTGTATGTTGTTAAAATTAAGCATGTTTGAGTCCTTTAATGATAACAAAATTGTAGTTTTAAGCTGTGAAGTGCGTGTTCTCTACAAATCAAGTTATTGTCCTTTGCATTTGAAATTTGTGATGAGACAAATTACATAGCCTAAGCAATGGTTTTCCCATGATTGATTCTAGTCATGTAGAAAGTCTTCAGAGTTCTTGATACAATTACCTCCTCGCTCAAAGTCACCTAAAAGTTACCATGGTGGTGAAACAGTGTGAGTGAATGAGTCTAAACCTGTACTGCTTCCAGTGAAAACAGGATTCTTCTGCAGCTGAAGTGAGGATGACCAGGTCTTACGGATACCTACTTCCTTCCTTCACCTGCTGTGATAGTTTGAAGTGTGTTATCTGTGAGCTATTAGCTCAAATTTGTTTTCTTATTTCTACAGATACCATTCATCCATGTAGGTGCCATTCTCGGTGTTTTATAACCTAAGTGGGACATCACTAGACATAGGTAGGGATATGGCAAGGAGTAAATAAAAAAAAAAAAGAAAAAGAAAGGGAAATATGTTTTAACCAAAAGGATATAAGCAAGACAAAATGAGGGAAGGGAAGTAGAGGAGAAAAGCAGATAAAGGCAGGAAAGGAGAAGGTGAACAAGTAAAATGATTCGATGAGAAGATGTCATGAGAGGTCTAGGGTCAAGACCATTTATCAGTCACATCTGTCTAGAGAATCAGCAGCATCAATAGCAATCATTCATAAAATTCTTTTCTCGGTTAAATCATATTCACTTTATTATTTTCAGGGTTTTCTCAAGGCTGCAGTAAAACCACACCTTCTGGCAGCTGTTAAGTGTTATATGAACTGGGAGGGGGGTAGTTTTGCAGAACTGCTATGAGTAAAAGTAGCAAAAATATGGGCTGGTGCCAAATATGAAGACTCTTACAGTTAATAGAAAGATTCACATTGCTATTCCAGTGGTTGGGATTGACAGTATAGTCAATATGGATAAATACTTACAGCAATACTGAAGGATGGTATTATTTTTACATCATGATTTTCCCGTCTTTAGCCTCATTTCAAAGGACAGGAGTCATACTGATTGAGAGGATTTTCCCATTAGGTATCTTCTGAGTCATAGAATATACTCAAAAAACACTTAATACAATGCTAGGCAATATAGGAATTATAGAGATTTGCAGAGAAACTGGTTTTCTTAGGGCTCAGTCCCACAAAGCTTTTGAGTATGGCAATAATGTTAACAGAAAATTTGGAAGCATGTTACATCAATTGATGAGTCATTATCAATAAAATGAAATAGGGAAAAGCACTGATATCAATCCCTATTTTACTATCATCCTCTTTTTTTTTTTTTTTTTGCATAGGCAGATGATCTGTGCCAAAAAGATATGATGGAAGAGCACTGTCTTACGTTTTTACAAATATTTAACAAGTCAAATTGTCTGGGAAAAGAAGCCAAATTAAACATTACCTAACCCTACAGTGGTTTAGAGTTGGTCACAGACGTGCTAGAAGAGAACATGCTGAGATGCTTCACGGCTGTAAAGCCATGAAGCATTGCTCTTGATAGTAAAGCCACACCTGGAAGCAGTTCAAACTGGAGGTTTTACAGAAGTTAGGTGAAATAGGCAGCTGTGTAACATTTCTAGAATACTATTAGCAGAGAGACTATTTTAATGAAGGGTGACTCTCCAAAGGTCTCAAGGACCAATGCATTTAACTAGCCAGAAGTGAGTCCAAAAAGAGGAACTGTAAAAGCAAAATAAGCAATAGGCCTGCAAACTCATTACTCGTGTATGTCAAATCACTTGCACGCTGCAGCATTTTAAGAGCTTATGGTTTTTTTATTTTTATATGGGTTAAGAGGATTATGCGAGAGGCCTGTTTCTGCATTCTGCTTAAGTGTTGCCTTAAGAAAATGAATGCTGATTCCCAAACTGCAACTTCTGTCCTTCAGTGGCATTGAAAACCAAGAAAAAACAAAACCAGAAGCAAGAAAGAGTAGAAATCACAGAGTGACAATATTCAATCTTGTCTGCTTTTGCTGGAGGATTATTTGCAGAATTAGAACGAAAACTCTTACATGTACAAAAAGAATTTTTGTCAGAGGTGTTTCATCCATTCTACTTGTGTGTTTCTGTGCTTCCATAGAGAAAAACCCCCCACATTTGCATTTAAAAATGAATGGTTATCACTGGTGTTATTTTACTTTAAAAGTTAATATAATTTTTGAATGTTACCCATTAACTAAGGTTAATATAATTAGTTACTCTTTGGTCTTCTATTTTTTTTACAAATTCTATTTTTCTAGGTGGTGTTAATGCGTAATTTATTCAGGCTGGGATAGAATCTTTGTGTCAGTGAGGTGATGACAGTTTACTCCAGAGAAAGCTATGCCTCGTAATGTGTATCTGATGGGTGAATTCTGCATCTTAAAAGTGCAACCAGTGCTTTTCATTCCATGAAATGAATTTTGTACAACAGAAAACCACGAGAATGTCTTTGAAATGAGTGATTCCATGTCAATGATAATTAGAGGGGGGCCAATGCTACAGCACATTCCTGGAGAACATTCACAGGCATTGGTTATTGTTTTCAGGAATGTAGGCAGAAAGTGAAAACTAATGAATTCCTACATAAATATGTAGCAGTGCAGAAATTTGAATCTAAGGGGCCATATAAAGTGATCTTTTAAAATAACACTGACCAAAGTTTCAAGTAAACTAAGTCAGTCTTTAAACTGAAGAGTGATAAGGCTTTCATTGCTGTCAAAATTGCAAGGACTATGGAACAAGCAGGATGTTACTCGTTCCAATCCAAGTACCAGGTACTTTGCTGTAACATCTAAATGAATGATTAAGAGAATGCGATTCAGTTTTCATTGAAGTAAAGGGAATTTTTTATTTTGGTTGACCAATGATTTGGTCTGAGATTGAGACCCGAATGGTTTCTGTAAATGAATGAAGGGTAATTGCACTTTTTTATAATGGAGCAGCAGTGCTGGGCATTTTCTGGATCCGTCCCATGGGTATGAGTAATTGCACTTTTTTTATAATGGAGCTGGGCATTTTCTGGATCCGTCCCATGGGTATGTTTACTCAGTTTTTTGTATACTAACTTAATGGCACATATACCCACAAAATGCCACCTGTCTTCAAACCTGTCATACTATCAGCATATTCCCATCGTGAGCCATCTGACTGTAGAAGAAATTTTCAATAGCAGAACTGAGCACTGAGTACTCAGATGTGGTAGTCAGTGTATTTCTAAGGGTTATGGAATATAATATGACAATATAATACAAAAAGAGAAGATGGATCTGAATTAATAGAAGAGAGGACAGAGGAAAAGAAAAGCAAAGGCTGAAGGGAGAGTTCTGCATAAATGAGAAACACCCGTCTTGCTAGATCTTATCAGATGTTTCGTCTCTCAAATGTGCATGAAGAATGAATGAAAATGAACAAAAATATTTCAGGAGAGAATTCTACTTTTCAAGAGATGAAAAAGTAAAAGGAAAATATGATGCAGAGCAAACTTCTTCCAGTCTCTTGCTAGGAAAGACATGCATTTACAGATTTTTTTATCTATCCCTGTAAAACCACAACACACAGCTGGAAGCACAACATAGATCCCAGAATTAGGGGAGAGACAAATTGAAGAAGCAGCTGACCTGAACAGTCACCAGGACTCCTGGATTACTTCATGCTCAGTTGAGTTGCTCAGATAACCAGTCTTGCACAGGTTGGATCCAGAATGTTTCCAGGAACTGAGTTAATTAGTGAAATATCCTAAAGTTAACTAACTCCCCTGCCAAGAAATGGGCTCTTCCATTTTCCTCACATGATTATCTAGACACTTTCACTTTTCCATATATAGGAGCAGCTCAGGGACTGACAGATCAGGCTAGGTAGGGATACAGACTTCAGGCACATGCATACTCCTTGCATGTGTACACAGATGCAAGCACATGCTGACTTCACACACTGAAATCCAAGTTAGTGTAAGAGGCGATAAGTGAAGACAGCGATAGTCCTGCTGATAAAGAACGTCTCCTTTAAGAGAAGGCACTAAAGGTAGAACTCTTCAACCACTGTTTATAATAATCCATCAGGAGCAGCATCGGAATCATGAATGGGCCAGTGGATGGTTTATGTGATTTCACGCTGGATGATGAAGGGGCTTTCATGTTCACATCAGAGTCAGTGGGAGAAGGACATCCAGGTAAGAAACCAGCTCTGGCAAATGTGTAAAAAAAAAAAAATTTTCATTTAAAATGTTTTAAAATCCTGAAGAAGAATTAATCTGCTATTAATTTTATTATAGAAGTGATTTCTAACAGGGTGCTTTTTACTTTATTTCTATTGGACCTTGTCCATATAGACTATAGAACCGCTATAACTTGAGTGCTTCCAACAGGAATTCACATGTGTTGCAGGGGGTGTGTTACACTGAGGAGGGCAGTGGGGTTTATGGTTGCTGCTGCTTCCCTTTCATCTGAATTTCTTCCAGTATCACTGTGGAGACACTACTGTATCTCTGATAGTCTCAAGTTTCACATATGGATAAGAATGCATAGCTTGCTTCTCAAGTTCCATGTCTTTATGGGCCCTGCATAACTGTCCTGCATATATACTATGCTCTAAACTGTCACCCATGACAGGAATATCTCTAAGCAGGCTATTTTAAAGGTTTTGAAAATCAATGGTCCCAGCAGCTGTACATGGCAAAGTTGCTGATTTTTTCCCCCCATTCCATCATCTGATGCAATATATAGAATTCTTAAGCAAATAGTGGACAGTTATTTGCTAAACTTTATGTATGGTCAGCAGAGCTTAGTTCAATTTTATTGAAAACAAATGTTCATCCACCATAAATATGTACCTTATGTCAACAGCAAGTCTTCCCCCAAATGAGGCCAGGGGACAATAGACTGTTTGATGTCCTGAAAAGTGTATTTATTTTAGAAGCCAGTTTGGCGTCCTGCGCCTTTTGCGATAATAAGGCTTTTTCAGGTCTGTACTCGTGTTATGTGAGTAAATCATAAACGGGTGGAATGACACAGCAGAGAATAAAAAGGTCAGTGACAAGAATTTTATGTCTATAATTGTGGTACTCTTCTACAATATTAATTTATTACTGCAGATCAAATCCATGGCTGATGCAATTGAGTACATCTCTGTCAATGTCAAGGCAGCTACATCAAGTTAAGCCAGTTGGGGTTCTTTCTGATGTAACACAATTGGAAAATGACAACGACGTTTGGTCCTTGGGACATAGGTCCTGTCCCAAATTTATATATAATTACATCTAGCGTCTGTAGCGCAATGTAATTTCAACAGGAAGAATAACATTATACAATATGGTAATTTTAAATTGATGGTGGTATTTCCAAAGATGAGAGGTAACAATTTATGCTACTCTAGTCATTATTTTTAATCCCCCTGGGGCAATAGTAGATAAGCCTCAGAACAGGAAGAGTTCAACTGAGTCCCCATGTTTAGCTTTGTCCCTTGGTTTCTGTCCTTTACCAATTCTCTTTTGTCTTGTTTCTTGTTTTCGAATTTGGCCTATTTTTCAGTTCTTATTCACACTTTTTTTCTATTCACACATTCTTCTTTACTTCCAAAAACTCTGTTGGCATCAGGAGGCCTTCTTTTAAGCCCTGTGAGCATTATTTCCCTCCTATGCTGAAATACTGGCCTTTGAGAACCAACGATACTGCTGGTTAGATTTGTGTAGGGCCTCCCATCCGGCAGGGGTTCCCAGATCTCCGGGTTACAGTGAGACGCAAAGTGGGAACCCAAGGGTCTTATTGTAGAGGGAGTGGAAAGCTGAGATTTACTCAGACATTTTCAAGACTGTGATGCTTATACCTTCTTAAACAGCCTAGGTCTTCATGTAGGGTACTGAAAACCCAAACACCTATGACAAAGGAAAGATCTGTATTTTCCGGATCAAGGGAGGACAGGTTGACAGTAAGTAACTCTGGGTGGTCCTGCAAATTCTTGTTCCTGAACACAGCCCCACAATAGGTTTTAATCGTCTCAGTGATAGCTCTAGTTTCTGACAGCACACTGATCACCCTTACATCCTGGCCAGCACCCCTTTTCCCTGTCCGTGGTTTTACATGAGAGGTGTAGACATGCCGTTAGGTTTTTATCATCCAGGAAAATCTCGACTGTTTCTTAAAAGGGTCCTGGTGTCTGAGGCTGTAGTTGGGCTTCTGACATTATCTGTAGCACTATAATTTTATTGTGAGTTTTGAGTTCCTCTGTTTGATACCAAATGGATAATTTGTGTGTTCTTGATTATTTCTCTTCTGTATGTGATAGTATAATTTTGCTAGAGGGCATTATGTGAAGTAAAGATCCTGAACCAGATCTTTGTCTGGTGGAAATTTGAATTGTTCTGATTATATTAGCTGACTATTGAATGTTTTAATGGAGACTTCCTTCTTAATAAACAAAGCAGGAGAAATTACATGCTTATTTATTTGGGTGTACAGCCTTATACCTGTGCAATGCCTGCGAGTAGCGTGTCACTAAGAAGCCCAAATTCCACAGAAGCAAGTAATAGCTGGCAATAATTAATGTACAGGTATTACCTATGCTCCCCAAAGACTTCATAGAAACCTCTGTTTATCCCATCCAAATTCTTCAAAATCACTTGGGTATACAATTTAGGACTTCCTTCCAGAAGGTCTGTAATCTTGGCCTTTAGTGGGGTAAATTCTAAACTCTCTGAAGACTTACAAGTGACTTCTTCATTTCAATACAATACAAGCACATAGATAGCAGCCTGGGGAAGAGAAAGATTTTTTTTTTTTTTTAGATAGCTAGTTTTTGTCACTGCTCCATTTTGCTGTGTTCAGTAGTGTCTGTCTGTGCTGCACAATGGTTTCACTGTGCTTTGAAAGGCATTGTGTGTTTCTCTGACCCACAATGTCTTACAGGTGCCAAACAACTTAGGATTAATTCCTTCCCCTATCTGGTGTGACTTCAGGTGGAATTGCCTGCAAACAGAATGTCATTCAGTTTTCCAGTAAGTATCAAGGAATGTCTTTAACAATGTCAGAGAAAACATCTGCTAAAAGCACCCTCAGATTTTCAACCACATTAAAAGCATGTGTTTATCTTCTGGATATTCACAGAAAAAAAATCACAAAAGAAAAAAACCAAAACCAGAAAATGTAGATTTTTGCAGCAAGTTGGTGCTTGCATGTCTTACATTATATATATTTAACAATATACAACATTGCATATACCTAACAATATACATAGTACTTCAGTAAACAGATGTACAAGATATGCAAATGGCACAGTGTTAATATTGAAGTACCACTGCAGCTGTCAGTCAGCACTCCTCAAGAGTCTTTTAAATAGGAAAAAATGTAATACAGCACAATTCAGCTGTTCAGAGTATTTCTAGTGAAACATTTTTGGTGGAAAGCTTATTTTTTGATGAAGTGTTCATGATAAGTATCTGTGTTTCTTGATGGTTTTAATGTTTTACTAGAAAAATGAGAATATATTTTGAATATATAATCTCACATTCTAGTTTAAAATTATTTTTTCTGTTGATATAAATAATGTATCATTACAAATACTGAATATTATTTTGATGATCACAGTTTTTAAGGAAATCAACCATACCTTTTGAAATGTTCAATGTTTATTATATTTACTACAGCATCAAAGCCAGAAGTGTGGTTGTACCTGTTGTGCTTCAAAGGGTGGAGCTTTTTTGAATTAAATTTTGAGTTGTTGCTGCTGTTCATAGATTTGTGTGTGTGTATATGGTGAATCCGTGGAACTGAATTCTTGGCAAGGTCCTGAGAACTTGCAGATGTCACAGCTTGTGTTAGGCTTTTACATAGTCTAGATTGATGTGACAAACTCATGGCCAACTACCTGGAAAACTGTGAAGCTCCTTTTAATTATTCGAGAAGACTTTTGTTGTTGAATGCCTTCTTCATTTGACTACTGGGCATTTGAGTAGGGTTTATCATCAGCTCCCCGAGATTAATTCATTCCTTTTATAGTTAGCAAGAGTTGGTTTGCAGCTAATCGACATCTCTGCCACCAGGCAGGGTCTCTAGGATGATTTGATTTCACGAAAAGAATGCATGGTTATCTAATACTTTCCTGCTCAGTCAAGAAATCCTGTAATATTAATCCTATTGGGTGGTAGTTCACTACATGAAGGTATGCACAAACTGAATACCTACTACATCATTTTAATGGGGTGGTCCATTATACTTTCTCTATTTCCAAAAAAAGAAGGGAGGAAAAAAAAAGGAAGGACATAGTGGACAAACATATCCTGTCACGTATAGCAGCTATTAAGAGAAATGGGATGGTTGAGATGAGAAATTTAAATAACAGAATGAAGGGTGCACAAAGCCTGCTAAGCATTGCTAAAAATAGAATGCCTGGTTTTATTTTACACCAGAGACCTTTACTAATAGACATGCCTTTGATTTCATGCATTAATCAGGCAATCATCCAGCCAGATTTCTCTTTCCAGTCTTGATAGATATATATCTGTATCTGTATTTGGATCTAGTTGCACCAGAACTGTTGGCTGTTGCACCAACGATCAGATATGGCATGAATTGTCAAACTGATTTGTCTCAGCTTATTTTAATCTAAAGGTATGCTATCAGCATAGAAGATTAAATTTTTCTAATTTATTATTTTAATTGATTAAATTCTCACATAGATTTTAAAGACCACAAGGGACCTCTAATATATAGTTTGGTCTGACTTTCCTGCACAGGCAATAATATTTCATGCAAGAATTCTTCAAACAAACATGCTAGTAAATGATGGTTGAATTTCATTCATACCTTTTAAAAAGATATCAAATTTTAATCTAGAGATTTGAAGGAACAAGGAATCCTGTATATATCTAGATGAATGGTTTCAATGGCTCTCACCCTTTTAAGATTTTCCTTTTTGAGTCTTTATCTGTCTCTCTTTAATTCCCAGCTATCAAAGGTAGTTACATCATTTCCCATCAGACAAAAACATTTCTCTCAGCATATTTTCTGTAGGTTTTTAGAGACAGTGAACCCAATGCCTATTAGGATTTCCTCTGGTAGGTTGCCTTTTGTTCAGTCTTATAAAACTGGACCGAGCTTGATTGATTTCACCCTCTTAAGATACACTTTTCTGATTTTGGGACATTCTCCTCAGTCTGTCCTAAACCTTCCTGCAGCTTCTTAGCATCATCTTTGGAATACCACCACCAAAGTCTACTATTTCTGTAGTAGTCTCACTAATGCTATTCTATGGAGATAATTTCATTTCTATGGATGACTGTTCATCTGGTTTTCCATCATGGTCTTTTCAGGGTGACAGTTTGTAAGACAAACTCTCCCCTTCTGTAAATGTGGACTATGGTTTTTGTTCATGAATGTTTTCTGTGTTATTTCTCTGAGAGGGAAGTGAAAGACATGCTTTTCTACCTACCAATATCCATGAAATACAGTAGATACTAATGATACAGTTAATTTAAAAACCCCAAAACCATAAAAACATCCGATTAAATCTTCACTTACTGATTTCACTGACTACTATGGCTAATGCTCCCTTGAAACATTTAATGAAAGTTTTAGTTTATAAATTAATTTCAACCACAGCATGCAAAACCAACATAAGGTTCTTTGTACCAGAGAGCTGCCACAAGGAAAAATGAGGATGAATTAGACATATGGTATGACCTGTACTTTTCTTCAATGTTTTGGAAAGAATGCATCTAATATCCCGGTATGGCACATACCGGGATATTAGACACTTATAGGGAACTTAGGCAAACATGGGACACTGGTATCTAATGCAAGTGAGACATGTTTCATGTGGAACAAGGACAGGGATAAAGGTTGTTCCTGGCATAGAAAATCTGGGTGGTGACAAAAAGACTACAAAGCAGTCCCAGTCACTAGCAGTTTACTGCAGGGCATTGGACCTACACTGAGAAGGTCATGCTATACCAGTTGCTCTGTTGTCGCACGCAGGTAATAAAAAATTACATATTTTTGTCAATAATGTTTGCTTTTATGCTTGAAAATACGGCTACATTTCCTTATAAAAATGGAAACTTTGAAGAGAGCAAGCAGAGATACATTTTAATCACTCCTGCCACCTTTGTCCCCAGTCTTGCTAAACAAGGTTCATTTGGACTTCTAACTAAATTGCAAGAATGGTGTCTGATTCCTGTTTGGTAATAATTGTCCCAAATTTAGTAATCCATGTACAGTTCTTGCAAGGCAGAAAGTTCCAATGCAGCCTACATTGGCTAATTGTCTTTTGTGTTTGTTCTTTTTGTGTTGAAGTGGTTAATACGGGAGATAAGAGTGTCAGAATCATATTAGTTCTCTAGTCTTTGATTTGTCCCTCTTAGCTAAATGTACACCTTCCTCATGAAAATAAATGAGAGTTTATTTTGACTTGAGGTTAAATGGATTAAAAGTCTCTAATGACATACTCTTACAAAATCTTGCTTTCCAACCGATTGTCTTGCAAATGGCAAGGCAGGAGATTAATTTATTTTGCCACGCAGCATGTTATGGCAACATGTAAACATAATATGCAATATTAGACAGTTTTAACATAAATCAATAAAACTAAAATATATGAGAAAAAATACTGTTTTCATGTGGAAGGCATTGTTATGGGTGCTGCCCTTTTGTGTTCATTAGATTAGCCACATGATTTGTTTAAAAAGGTAAGAAAGAAAAGAAAGAAAAAGAGAAAAGACTACTCTGATAAACCTGAGCTGAAACCTTCGTGTTTGGGAAGTAACTGGAGATATACTCAAGATTTACCCAGTTGGTAACCCCTTGCTTCTGCACGCGCTGCTCGCTCCCCTGTCTCAGGTGGGTTGCAAGGATCATTAGAAGACGGTATTGCAGGATGGTAGGAAGCAGTAAGAAGAAGCAAACCTGAAACAGCTTTGCGCTGTGCAGGGTTTACCAGAAGTGGTGTTCTGGTCCGTTCTATCTTTCTGTTAGGGAGATGGAAGTTGGTAGTGGAATATCACCTTCATGTTAGAATACCACTGATGTGGAGTGCATGCTGCGTTGGTTTGTGGTGTTAGAGGAGAAGGCTGGGAGTAAAGCCTCAGCCTCTCAGGTAATTCCATGTGTAACATACTTGTTTCACACTTAAGTGCAGAAAACTACGTGTAAAGTTATAGTCAGTATTAGTTTGCACCAGTAAGTAAATTCCCCATTGTACCTACTGGTTTTGCTTGCAGGATATTTCATATGTCTTTCTATTTAGTTAGCTTAAATACTCCAGTAGTACGCAATAAAAGAATTCCTTGCTGAAACGCCTACCTATTCAAAGTGATGCAAACAGTCCATGTTTTGTATTCAGTGCTATGGTTTTGAATCACAACTTTGATGCCTTGCAGATAAAATCTGTGATCAAATCAGTGATGCTGTACTAGACGCCCATCTCAAACAGGACCCAAATGCCAAGGTTGCTTGTGGTAAGTTGTTTGCTGCTTTGCTTTAAGTCATCATCATTCACCGTTCTTTTTTTATTATGTTTGCATAGAGGTTGATGCTATCATCTGCTAACTCATTTTACTCTCAAAAAATTACATAAGAATTACAGTCTTCAAGAGAAGGAGAGACGAGAAGAAACAGTAAAAGATTTATAAAAACTGAAGCCTAAGCAGGCTGTAGGGTAGTTATTTCTGTGTGTGGACTGAATTTTCCTGGAAGGAACAGATTGGGCTTCATTACAATTGATTTTTGAAATAACATTTGGATGTTTTGTTGAAAAGTTCATTTACTATATTCAATAAAGTACTGATTTTTCACTCCAAGTCCCCATAACTGCTTGTTTTTTGAAATCTCTTGAGAAAGAGTTGTACCATCAACCCTCAGGTCATTGCCCCAATTCGTGTATTATGTAACTAAATCCCATCTTCAGATTCTTCCACCTGGGACTGGAGGCAAGTTTTCAAAATAGTTGATCACTGATGAGTTTTATTTAATCTCAGTACGTATCTTAGAGTGATTAAGGATTAAGTGGATTTAGAAATCACAGCTTAATGCTACATTTCCCTAAATCTGTGCCTATCACTGGATCATGCTTAGTGTTTTGGCTTTCCCATCTGTAAATTGGACATATTAGTCCTTTCCTTGCTTCCAGACATACATTGAATAGGAAAATAATTTGTTGTAGAAGGAGCTAATACTGCTAAAAATATGGGTAGAAAGGACTTACACTGTATATACCCAGTAGATGTCTCAAAATCACCATAATCACATAGTTATTTGTTTTAGTGGGCTGGGTTATTCTGCTGTTGTAATCCTGGTTTCATCTCTTTTCAGAGACAGTATGTAAGACAGGAATGGTGTTGCTCTGTGGGGAGATCACATCTCGTGCTATTGTGGATTATCAACGAGTTGTCCGAGATGCAATTAGACATATTGGCTATGATGATTCAGCTAAAGGTTGGTGGAAAAACTCATGAAATCTTTGAAGAGCAAGCAATAGGCAACTGCAAAAACAGGTCTGTCACCAGTTCCATGTATGGGCTTTAGCAAGCCTGATGAAAACTGAATAGCCTGTGTGAAAGCTGCTTATGTGGTGCTGTGTGATACACTTTCTGGATTTATCCCAGCAAGTAGAAATACCATCATATATTAGTTAAAACTGAAAGGAAGTAGGCAGAATATACTTTGAACTGGCCTGGTATTAGGCCAGAATAGTTAACTGTAGCTTAAGCCACAGAATCTACCATTCCTCCAAACCTGTGAGAACTCGAATCTCAGTTATTCACTTGGCAAGCCAATTGATGCATCTTGGTGCGAAAGAGAGGGAAGAAGAAACCTAGTTCATTTCGTTATACCATTATACATGGATTCTGTGGTAGCATTGAGAATTCCCAGTTGTAAAGCAGGTTCTCACTGTGCAAGGTTCTCTGTTATCTCTGAACAACTCCTCCTACACTGAGGAGTTTCCAGTCCAAATCTGGTTTGTATAATGTACAAATGATAAAAAAGACAAAATGCTTTATATGCCAGACACATTTCACTCTCTGATTTGCCATGTATCTGTTTATACATTACAAATATTCCAAGTATAGTTACAGTAAAGTGTATTTTCTAAGAGCTTTTGGTTAAAACAAGTTGTTTCCTGCAGTCCCTTAATTGCTATTGCATTTACAGGGAAATTTTGGTGGGAGAATATTATAGAAGCACATCTGCATGTTATTTCCACCATCATGTAAAAGCAGTGCTTTCAGAAAATGCTGACAGATCTAGCGGGTCATAAGTCTCCTTTTTATCTTAACTGCCAAAAATGATAAGGAGCTATGCAGTGACCCAGTAGAAAACAATTTCTATGCAGAAGTAAAACAAAAATCTAAAACAATTGCACAAAGAAATAAATTTTTTTTTTTCTACATAGCCTACTTAAAAGAGGGCGATGAGCATTCTTCAAATGGATCATATGCATATGGAAGTGTATATATGTTGTATTGGCTGAATGTGAGTTTGGTCAGCAGTTCCCGGTAGCTACATTTCTAGGGATGGTTGGATTTGGAGAGAAGCAAGTTACTATTAATATACCTAGGAACAGGTGGAAAATTTTGCCATGATATTCTGTAAGTCTTTCAATTTCTCTTTAAAACCTTCCTTTTGGTCTTTGAGAGTCATGTAAAGTAAATTCCTGCTTCCAGATTTGCTGTGAGACTTGAATCTGGTTTTTTCTCTATGATTCTCACAAGAGCTCCCACGAGAGATTTAGATACTGACACTGCTTTGCATGTATTACAAATAATGTATCAGAGAGCGAAGTCTTCAGCTGCTGAAAACATCAGCTCCTAGGAATTTCAGTAGAGGTTTTAAATACTATTTATTTGGGAGAGGCTGATTATTTAATTTTTTTCACTAGTTTTCTGCACTTAACAATTCATAATCTGAATTGGCTTGGTACAGGGTGCCAATGCAAGAGAAAACAAGCAGTAACAAGCAAGAAAGGTTGTATTGACCAAGAAATTAAGTAAAAATAGCATTTAGGTTGCGAGTTCTGAAGGCGGTATCCTTCAGAATGAAAATTCTGTCATATGGTTCCATGTTACTTTCCTTAATTGTGACAGAAAAAGCTAATTTGCTGCTATTCTTTTTTCCAAATAGGCTTTGACTACAAGACTTGTAATGTTTTAGTGGCACTGGAACAGCAGTCACCTGATATTGCCCAAGGTGTTCATCTACACAGGGATGAAGAGGATGTTGGTGCTGGAGATCAGGTAGGCATGACATCACATCTAAAACATCAAAGCTATTTGAATGGAAAGTTTACCCCTTCTCGTTGCCCTATTTTCTGAATCAAGACCCATGTGAAGATTTCCACACTTCCACCTTGGGCTAGCCCAGAATAAAACCCATATTTTTATTAAAACAGTTGGAATTCTTTGAGGGCAGACTTTTGCCTGGTGTTTGTTATAGCACTCTGTGCAAGTCAAGAGAGCTCTGGCAGTTTTAGTAGCTGAGGATGTGTCCTTTAGAACTTAGCAAAGGTTTTTTGCTTATGTATTTCATGTTTTTGTTGAGCAGCTTTAGATTCAGTAGACCATTCATCTTGCAGCCAGACTTGTCTTGTAAGATGGAATAAACAAAGGATCTTTTTGCTTTCACAGAGGTCTTGAGATTTTACACAGCAAAAAATTAGGTGGTTTCAACTGTCTGTAGCATTAGTACAATGAAGGTAAATATGCCAGAGTACTTTCAATTCTCACTTATTTCCCAGAGGCAGCTATTGTAATAGGTGTTCCACATAATTAAGGCTGTCCAAGCTGCATTTCTATGAGCTAAATACCACATGTAGGTAATTATGGTGTGTTCCCAAGGGAAAGATGCTAACATAAAAATTCCGTAATGTGACTGATGCCAGTATGAGTGAGTTTAACATTTACAGTAGTTATCATTAGTAGTAATATCTAGTTTATAACAATGCTGTTGAGAACCATAAGTAGAGATATCAGAGTCCAGGAACCAAGTTAATATTGTTCAAAAAACCCTTGAGTACTAAATTAAAATGCTTTTATGCTGTCATGGGAACATAATGCTACATAAGATGAAATGATATCTGACTTCCTTTGGCACTTTGATGGCCTCCCTTCCCATTGTATCAAAGTACCTCCCTGTCTTAAATTTTTTGGTTTTTGTTTTTTGTATCACGACATAAGGAGGAAGAAAATGCTGCTAACTCTATTTAACAAATAATGATCTGATGCAGGGAACATGCTTGAATAACACTAGAAGCTGTGACTAGAAGTGTGTGGCACTGCAAATCTGAGATGGGTGCCTTAAACTGTTGAATGGTACATCCTTAACGCAGTATTCAAATCCCATTCCACTGAAATGTCAGGTGTGATCTGCAGTATACGTGTGTCTGTATTCATACATCAAAGATTCTGCAGCCTGTCCAGGCTAGTGATAACACCTTTCCTATGGCAGAACAGTCCTGAAATTGTTTTGGTCAAACAGATTTTTTTTTTTTTTCATATGAAAGAACCTGATTTTTTTTGTTTTTTTCAGAAATGTTTCTGTTTCTGTCCAGGTTTCCAGCTCAATATGTAAATCTTCAGGCTTTCAGTGAAAAATTCTAGGAACGTGGTTTGTTTCTCATTGCACTATAACATGTTGGAGCCTGATCTAAGTTTCTTGGACTGTAATGTAAAATAGTAGAAAATATACCTGAGGGTACTGTTTATGCTTTGCTTCAGATGAAATCTCATTGCCTTTGGTTGTGGTGCTTTTAACAGTGATTGAAGTGTCTCTCCTCCTCCTGTAGGGTTTGATGTTTGGTTATGCAACAGATGAGACAGAAGAATGTATGCCTCTCACAATTATTCTTGCTCATAAACTGAATGCCAGGTTAGCAGAGCTGAGGCGTAATGGAGAACTTCCTTGGCTGAGGCCTGACTCTAAAACACAGGTAAATACTAATTTTGTTCCTTCTTTTTTTTTCTGTTCTACTAACAAAAGGGCATTCCAGTCGCTTATGGATAGTACAGATAGTTTAAAACTACCACTTTCTCTTTTCCAGAAATCTTAAATATTTTTAAAGACAGCAACTGATGGTGTTCAGAGTATCAGGATAACCTACAAGTAGCAGATAAAGCATTTCAACTGCTTATGATACTGTCTCCTTGACAGTTGGAAAATGGTTTATGTGTATCAGAGTGCTAGGAGCACTTCACCACCTACCAGGCAAGAAACATTTAACCCTTCAGACCTAAGCGGTCTGTGCTCATTCGGGAAGTGATGGGAAATTCAAAGGATTTATTTGTATTTAGGGATTCGGGCTGGCCTTTTTGAAGATGCACTGAGAATGTAGATTTCTGAGGCCTGGCAGTTTAGCTGGAAATCCCAACCAAAAGATGCATTTTGGACAATTTCATAGGAAATGAGATTGTCCATATTGGATCTCTTTTTTTTTTTTTTTTTTTTTTTTTTTTTTTTTTTCTCACCACTGCAAGAACAAAGAATGAGAAAGTAGGCTTCTTCTCTCATACCTTGGCAACGTCAGCAGTGATCATTATGTCAGCATTGACATTTTGCTACAAATATGCTCTTGGAATAGCATAGCATGTCATTTGATGTAGACCAGTAATACATTTTATAGCAACTTTGGTTTTTTCTTCCTCCCTCTCCCTGTTCTATTCAGGTCACGGTTCAATACACCCAGGAGAATGGAGCGGTCATCCCAGTGCGTGTTCACACCATTGTGATATCTGTGCAGCATGATGAAACCATTTCTCTGGAGAATATGCGCAGAACCCTGAAGGATCGTGTCATTCAAGCTGTTGTCCCTGCAAAATACTTGGATGAGAAAACTATTTATCACCTTCAACCTAGTGGACGTTTTGTTATTGGAGGGCCTCAGGTTTGTGTTGTATTATTTTAGTGCTTTTATCAGCTGGCCTTTCTCATTGGGTGTTGTCTTAAAAGAAATGCTCAGCTGTTTGGCATGCCTGTCCTAAGGTGTGAGAAGCAGGCTGTATAGTGGAAGCTGGAGGTGGGAGAAGCACCCAGGGTTTCATGTGCTGTATTCCAAAGTAACCTGTGAGGTCATGGTTATATCATACATACGTGGTGACTAGGCAGGCAAGTGGAGCTGAGTCTTACATTGCATGTGGAATGTACAGCCCAACTCTGGGTTTCCTCAAAGCCTCTGTGTCTAGCACCGAGTGAGGCATGCAATCCTTTCTCATGGAAAGCATGCCTTACAGAGAGAGGGACAACAGAAGGTTTACTTCTCTTACAATGAACCTGTTTTTCTGATCTGTATAGCTTGCACTGTTCTGCCTGACACCAATGAGAGCTGAAGGTGTTCCTCTGTTCTGAAAATCAGCCCCTGATAGGCTTCTCCTGGTGAGAAAATAAATGTAGCTTTTGCTTTATCTAGGCAATGCAGGAGCTGGCATTTATAATTTTATCCTGCACTCACAAAAGTCAGGCAGAACTTCCACTCTCTGTAGCATTAGGACTTCTGAGATTTAGTTTTTGAAAGCAAATTCATGATTCCTGATGTTTCAGTTTTCAGTTCCCTTCAGAACTATCACAGCAAAATTTCAAAGCTCCTTCCTGAAATTAGGTCCAATTTTACAACAAATCCAAGTAGATATTGCTTTCCTTTGCTGTTCAAATTCATTCATTTACTGGAATTTTCCAGAATTATTTCTCAGGTGCTATGTCTTTTTTACATTAGTGCCATGGGACAGGTAGGAAAGTGTTGAGATTAATCATGATAAGAATGATTATACGAAAAATGTATCTCTGTGTAGTTGAATTGGTTGTATCACTGTAATTTTGTGTATCATTGACATCCTAGACTATGGAAAGTGGAGAGGCAAACTTGAGCTGTAACTTGGAGCAAATGAACCAATGCAGCAATCATAGCTACATGCAAAACGAAGGCTACACATATGAAAATTTTGAGGTGTGCACTGAACTGCACCCGTTAAAAATGTAAATCTTTCAGGTGTGCACTGAACTACACCCATTTAAAAATGCAGTATAATTACATTTGGTAAGCCAACCGTGAATACCTTTTCTACTCTTGCGGTGAAACCGTATTGCTTATGTTTGCACATACAAACACAGGCACGTTGCAGTGTATGTTTGCAGCTTTTTAAACCTGGGAGGTTTACTTAGTATGGGTCAATCTGCCTGTGTGTCCATGGCCTTACCTCTGCTATCATCGCTTGTGCAATTTACAATAGCATTGCAGCAACCAGAAAATAACTATTTCTTTCCTTGTCTTTTATGTCTTGAACTCTCTGATAATTTTTCATAAGAGTAGTACTCTGTTTTATTTTTAACAAAGCTAGCTATGGAAGGCTGTCTTAATCTCCAGCTCAGTTCATCTAAGGAAGACACATGTATTTCACTCGGGACTTTCACCTTATGTTTTTGAGCACAATGGTACCTTGAATTCTGGCTATGGCAAAATTAGCAGTTTTGCTGCTATCACCATTTTCCCAACAGCAACACCCACTGGTACTGTGAGGACATTACAGCTCGTCACAAAAGTGATGTCCACGCACTTTACAAATACATTTGTGCTCTTTCAGCACCTTTTAAATGAAGGGTGGTTTTTTCCTTTCACCTGTCCATCTTTCTTCCTCTCACTCAGTTCTGCAGTCAAGTCATGATGGCACACAAGGTGTTCTCATTGCAACTATCTCTGCCATGAGAAATTAAGGTTTGAGTCAGGCAGAAGAACCCCAGGAGGACATGATCCTTTAGACAACCTCAGCTGCCTGCAATTCAGATTTACATCATGCTGCTTTTTTAGCAGAATGGAACAAACAGTGCCAAAGGTTTTTTTCTTTGTATATCCACAGTCTTTCTAAGAAAAACTTTGATTCTCCACTTGCATTTACTGTGCAAACATTCCAGCAGTTGAATTTTACTACAGAATTTATGATATTCTGTAGACAAAGAATTTGCCTGCACAGATTGAGACTGAATTTCAAATTTGACCATGTTTCCATTCAAGCAGGAAGCTTAAGCATTCAGTAAATTTGGGGCTCAAACAATTAGTCAGGTACTGATCAGCTAACCAAGATCAAATCAAAATATCAAATACTTGTGAGGGGCAATCAGGACAGCTGTGTGGGCAGCTAGAAGGTTGTCTGCGCTTCCTGATTTAATATTTTAGAATATTCATCTATAAGCATCTGTTCTTAGAAAGAAGCAATCCTTCTTTCCCAATCACCTGTAACTACCTACTGTTTGATACCTGTTGTGTATAGTTTAAATTATATTATTAATATTTTGAGGTTGGAAACATGTTTTTAGTACATATTTGTATGGCACTCTGTAATGATACTGCCCTGGAAGTGTTGGGTGCCAGCCTCCATGTAACGGTGTATAAGGTAGCGTTGACATACAAAAAAGTAAATACAAACCAGACATCTACTATTTAGTATTCAAAAACTTCAGATTTTGATGAAAAGATATAAAAGCCTGATACATATATTTTTTTAATAGTGTAAAATTTCTCAGGGGTTCCTATATGGCACATAGTTTGTTAGCAGTATTCTGTATTCAGTTTGGATGTGGTAGATAGGTAACTTTTAAACCAAAGATTCCATATTGTCTGGAATATTTACTTCTGAAACAGGCACTGCATGTTCTAGTTACGTGGGTGCAAGCCTGCGTCCTTGACTACCAAACACTATTTGTTGAACGGCTTGTCTCATGAATCTGGCTTTAAAAAACATTTATAGCCACTATTGTAGCTTGATGAGACAGGTTCATTCCTTCAGCTACCCCACAGCAATCCATATGCGGTGATCTTACTTCAGTGTTATTGTAGTCTTCTGAGGGATGCATAGCCTTGTTTGAGACTTATATTAAAATGGATTGTAAAATGGACAAATTATTTTACTGATTCAGGGTGATGCTGGTGTAACTGGTCGAAAGATCATTGTAGATACTTACGGTGGCTGGGGAGCCCATGGAGGTGGTGCGTTTTCTGGCAAAGACTACACGAAGGTGGACCGATCAGCTGCGTACGCAGCCCGTTGGGTGGCCAAGTCTCTTGTGAAAGCTGGGCTCTGTCGCCGTGTTCTGGTTCAGGTACGGTTTGCTATGAATGTTGTTTTTCTCAGAAAGGTTTTTCCTTTTCAGCTTTACCTTGAATACACATCATACGAGACACTGTAGTAGAAGCAGTCTTGGCAATGGCTTGGGATTGAAGAAAGGAAGACATTGATGTGCTTGGTCCAAGACCATTGTAGTGTCACTAATAGTCTCTCAGCTTCTTAAAGCTGGAACTTTCAATTTACCTTTCATTTTATTGGCCGTTTTTCTGGACATTTATTGAGCCGTCAACCCTCTAACACTTACTCTCTTGGAAATGAGCATGGGGTGACTGGATAACGGAGAAGAAAGTTATCAGAGACCTCAGCATTTTCAAAGTTTTCTCTTTTTTTCTACAAATACAGATTGCACAAATACGGGAAGTGAAGGAGAGCCCTTAGTTTTGCTAAGATGATTCACGAATGCTTTCTTCTGTTGCGTACCGAGGTGCTGTGTTTATTTGCTAACTATGGTGTCTTTTTTGCCATAGGTTTCTTATGCCATTGGGGTAGCTCATCCACTATCTATTTCACTGTTCACTTATGGAACTTCCCAAAAAACAGAGAAAGAGCTGCTGGACATTGTGCACAAAAACTTTGATCTTCGGCCTGGAGTCATTGTCAGGTATAGAAACACACAAAAAGGAAATTATCTTGGTGATCACATCCTAGAAATTATTTCTTGCAAAACCATTAGATGTTACAATGTAAGAGTCAGCCTCTTGAACTAGCAAGGGGTTGTTCCATGCACTACAAAAGAGACTTCCTCTCATTCTGTCACTCTTCACAGTTGCTACTTTTTATGGATCTACTACTAGTGTATCTTTTAAGATAACAGATGTACTTTCCAAGTTGAGCATACACTTGTATGCTCATATGAAGCATATACTTTCGGCATTTGACCTATAGAGTATGTAGAATTCAAACGAAATAAAATAACTTTTATGTTCCATGAATCTTAAGTTACTTTGCTGTGAAAAAAGATGTTTTGTTATACAAAAGGAATTGAAAGTTATTTCATCTTTTCCATTAAAATTAATAATGCTCAGTAATAAGGGCTTTTCCTATAGCCCTAAAGTACTTCACATTTAAGTTTTGTTGTCACTTTTATGGTTCTCCATTGGACATTTTCTCTGGTATGCTTGCATCTCCAGAATATATTTTCTTGTCTAAGGGCATGAAATGGATATCAACATCAGGTTTTTAATGGTAGCTATCAGGAAGTATCTTAATGTGAAGAATTTTCTCTTCTTTTTATTATACACACAGGGATTTGGACCTAAAAAAGCCCATTTACCAGAAGACTGCTTGTTATGGTCACTTTGGAAGAAATGAATTCTCATGGGAGGTGCCCAAAAAACTCGAGTTTTAACACTAGCAGCCACCCTTTAAAAACAGAAAGGAACAGAAATCCACTAATGATGAGGATGCTTCTGAAAATCAAATTTGACAGCTTTGTATTCAACAAAAGGAATTTTAGATGTTAAATGGAAAGAAAGAAAAGGATATTTTCTTGGAAATTGATTTTTTTTAACCCTCAGTGTCTTTCATTATCTAAGATATAAAGGACAGTCTGTTTTTTCAATCAGCATAAGACAACAAAATATGGTTTATTTTTTATTGCTGCTCTGTTAGTTCTTTTGATAAAGGCAAAGTATAACTCAGGTACGCAAACCAATGGCTGAACCTCAAACCTTTCATGGGCAAAGGCAAATATGACTTTCCCAATTCTGACTAAGGATCAGCAGATCTCTCGCTTCTGATTAGACAATGGGAAATTCTGGGGTCCAATTTCCTTACTGGAGTTAGCATTGCATACAGCTGGGGGTTGCTTTGATGGGAGAAGGCTGAACATTACATAACTGTAGCTCAGCTTCTTTTGTAGAAGATGTTATCATAATGTAATATTTAAATCACCTTCACTGGGTTATGTGCTGTTACTGTTGTGTTTCAATTACCTGTGTTTTTGAAACGTAAGTGTTCTATAAAACAACAATCATAGAATAAAAAGCTTTTTCCTACCATTTATGTAAAGATGCCTCTTTTACTATTTTTTTTTTTTAAATGTTGCAGTATAATGGTCCATCTCAACTCAGCCTCTTCTTGTAGGATTTTAGTTTACCAGCGTAATTGAGTTCTACTAGGTTTTGGAATTGCGATATGAATTTATCTTTCACTACAGGTGTGATCACTGTTTAGCCCTTGTGACTGATAAAAACTTGGTGAAAAAGTATTAGATTTTTATTTTTAACTCTTAGGTTTGTACTATACAGTATTCTCTCGTAATTTTTGCTCCCAGATGTTAGGTTTATTGCCTGGCTTACTAGGTTTGATGTAATTTTGGAATAAAATAACGTGCATAGAAATAACTGCAAAATATCAGCAAATATATACAGCATGAGGTTAAAATTTGGACCACTACCCTGTCCAGCAGTCTCTCTCTGAAGAACCAGCCACTAGATGGCTGTGTGTCCCACAGCTGTAGGAGCAAGTTCTGTGCAGAAAGCATGTCCCTGTTTGTGCCAGTACTCAGCTACTAAGTCTGGGTACCGGCACCCCATTACGGCTGTTGGAGATAGATAGTGACAGCCTCTCCTTCTGACAGCTCAAGGTAGCTGCTGTGCGTGGTGGATTGGCTATGGTCTAGACTGAGGGCAAGGACGTTTCTGTGCTCATGTGCTATGTTGTCATATAGTGACAAACTACTTTTTTGCAAAGATTGGTTTAAATTGGGAGGATGTGAGATCACATTTATCCTCTGTGGTTGGTTTTGTTTGTCAATAGGCAACAAGGAATAACTTTATCCTGCAATACAAGGATTACCCATGTATGGCCCCCAAGAGTCTCTTAATCCTAGCGTTGTGGTTTAAGCAGCTTCCTGTTAGATCTTCTACACTGGAGAAATGCTGCCACCTCATGTTTCTCTCCTAACTAAATTCCTTCTTACAGCGTCTCCCAAACAGATGTTGAGGTGGAAAGCGAGTGCCTGACTGATGCTCATTAAAGAAAAGCTGCCATTCATTCTCTTCAAATATGTCACAAGCACAGCTTTTATATGTTCAAGCCAGAAGTTTATCCACTTTATTAATTGCGCTAACGTGCTATATGTACTGTGTAAGTTGAGACAAGTAGTAGGTTTGTGTGTAGGTCCTGATCTTCTGAGGACTTAGAGCATTAATCAATAGTCCTTGTTGGACACCTGGCTACATTTTGGCAGAAAAATATATTGAAATGCAGCTGCATCTTAAAGAATGTATTGGCAAAAATTTCCCAGGGTCGATTTGCCCAGACGCATATTGCTCATCTTGCAGGGAAGAAGACTGTTGTCAGCATCAGCCTCAAAAATGTAAACTGTTTGGAGCCAGGTCCTGTTGGTCTGCCCAGAAACGTAAACCTTGCCCTTCAGTATTAAAGACTTGTTTTGCTGATGAACTTCTACCTATCAATAGTGTATACAAAGGCATTTTACTAATGATGAGGAAGTCACCATTCATGCTGCCACAGAACTGTTTTGTGGGACTATTACAGTCCTACACATACCTGTTTATCAAGAGGTCCCCAGGATGGCATAAGGCGGCACAGCTCAGTTAAATGCACTGGGGGCCCCACCACTGGCTTCACCGCTCCAGGAGCGCCTGCTCGTAATGCGTTATACTACAACAAGCAGAAGCAAGTGGATGAAAAAATAAATAAAAAGAAACCTGAAAAAGTTCTGCATAAATAAATGTGTTGCATAATGTAACATGAAAACAGAATGTCCCTGTCTCAGCAAAACCAAACACCTGCAGGCAAAAATGAACAGTCGTGCTCTGGCAGCGACCATAACAACCATTACAGAATTTGTTGGAAGGGAGAATGTGTCTGTCTGTCTGGTTTGGTGGGCAGGCGAGGTCAGCGTGGCGGCTCGGCTGTGGTGTGTGTGTGACAGGCTGTGGGGTGAAAGGCCTTGACTCTGAAACCTGCGTTTTACAGGTGGGGTCAGTCAGTCCCACCCCGGCACGTGAGCATTAGCTAGGTAATTGGATTAATCTGCTAGGAAATGTATAGGGTAGAAATGATCGAACTTCTGTGGCAATTTTGCTAGCTATTCAGCTTTCCCCATAAATGGATATAAGCATGTGAGGTTCCTGGCCCTGTTAAAAAAGAAAAAAACCGAAACCAGAATGACAAATAGAAATACCATGCAGTTGCTGCTATGTTATAGCCACACAGAACAGATATGCAGCTGGTGACATAATATACAGACAGAAAGTACGTTCATGTTCTCAAGACTTTTTTTTTTCCTTTTCTGCTGCTGTTGCTGCTTTGTTTAATCTGTATTTGATACAACTCAGAAGCTGGAAATTGGAAACCATAATGTGCCCTCCTTACCAAGTAGCTAAACTTTGAATGCTACAGGATACAGAGCACATCCCCTTCGTCCAAGTCTTTAGCCATCACCTGATGTTCTGAGCTCTCTCGCAGAGCATGAGGTACAGGGTTGAGCCCTGTAAGTAAGGCATACTTATGTCTTCTGTAAGAATACATGTGTGCGTGTGTGTGTGTGTATATATATATATATATATGCGTGTGAGTGAGCCAGACAGACGATTGCAGACAGATGGAGGGGTGGCGGGGGAGAGAGCAAGAACATGACAGAATGTGCACACACTAAACATGTTTACAGTAAATCAGTTAATCCCAACATTTCCTGGTAGGGTTGGCAGCAGTAGGAAAGCCAGACCGCCTCAGTAAGGTAATGAGACACCGCCCCTTGCCCTCCCTAAACCGTGCTGGCAAACTCTCCACTGGCTTCCCAGCAAGTTGGGCAATGTGTGCATCCCCCATCCGATGCTAACGCCTTATCACAGCACACCCTCATGGCAAGGGACACTGTAAACAACCAGTGACCCACGGACATGCAGCTTTGTGCCTGATTCCAGTGCCTCAGCTTAGGCTCCACAAGCAACAAGTAACTAGCCCCTGATCTCCTGCAGAAAAAATGCTGTTCAGCTCCCGCCTGCTCTGGAAAACACTGGTTTTTATAAGTTTAGCAGTGCTTCTTACAGGTAAGATATTGCCATTCTTGAATATGACTAACAATTATTTAAATGGTGGCCATCTTAGAGCAATGGAGCATCCCACTTGGGAATCCAGCCCTGGGTGGCCACAGGCAGGCGATCAGATTGTTGACCGTTTGGAATAAATTGATGTTTGCACAGTTTATTCACATTTGAGCCTTGATTGCCTCAGGTATATGAGGTAGCACTAGGACTGCAGAACACTTCTGTGTTACGCAGTATTTGGGGTTTGTTCTTGTGTCAGGAGGGATTATTAACCAGCTATGCACCTGCTTCTTTTTGTCTTCTAGATTTTACTGAAATTGGAGCTTTTGCCAGTCCCAGTGATTGTAAAACTGCGACCATGGATGATGTCAAAGAGAGCCTTGAGGTAAGAGGTTGGCTGCATCGCCCAACCCAGGACCTGCTCTGCAGACACCTGGGGCCAGCGGTGGGAGGAGCAGGGCCCTGCACAGCCTGTGTATGGCTTGGGTAGAGAGTACATGGTGGGGAGGGGAATGAGATAGAAGAGCAAAAAAAAAAAAAGATTAGTGTCATTTGACCTGCCACATCTTTGGCCCTGCTACTGCTAATCAAAAAAAAGTCCTTCTAGGTCTATTTCCCAGTTTTGCTTTGCTCCAGATATATAAAATGGCTTGAACATAAACAGTTATGTCTTTTGCCTTACATGCATAATGTTGTTTTCAATCCCACTTTCAAATATAAAGCACTAAATATTTTAAATACAACTAAACCAGTCAACTGAAAGCCTATGTTTTATGAATTAGTCCCCCCGTCTTCTACAGGCTAGGGCATGATCAGACACTGGCCCTTGAATATGGTAGAAATGGAAAAGAAATACCAGGGCAGGGCCTGTAAAGCCGTTTTCCACACACGGTCGAGACATCTGCCTGTAAAACAGCAACACAGAACTCATAGCTGAAGTTGGGCCACACAGGACACGCTGTGAGCTTCTGCCTGGAGCATCGTTCTCAGCACATGGGGGGAAAAACAGTTGAGGGCAGCGCTTGCTGAGGAGGTGTTCTCCCAGGCCTTTGAGACTTTTTTCTCCCAGAGATTTGAATTACATTATTTTCTTTGTATGACTGATGCCCATCACTTTCAACAGTGTTTCTGAAAGCTTTGGCCTGGGAAGCAGAGTTGGCCGCTGCTGGCCAGGGCTTCAGCAGCCACGGCTGGAAACTGCACTTGCTCTTTTCCTTGCGCCTGTGTAAAATCAAAGTAATTGGTGTCTGTTATAATGATGGCACGCGCTTGTGTTTTGGTTGCGGAGTTTACCACAGCTCTTCACTATCTGTGTATGTGCATAGGC